AAAGTAATGTGGCCATCAAAACATTAGAAATCCGAGTTAAGCATTTTTACAAAAATGTGGTGTTCGTAAGAAATTTCTCAAGTCTCTCCAAATAAATCCCAAAACCTATTAGATCACATGATTCGGTGATCCTTGATCACCCTAATCCCCAATGTTACTACTCACTCATGATATATAATATAACTCCATATAAGAAATGAAGGAATGATCATGAAGAAATCAAAGAGGATTAAAGGACAAAAAAGACGTTATATAATGGATTAAATGAAAAACAAACAATGATTTGATGCAAATAATTCTAAAAGATGCAATACCAAAGAATTAAGGATGGTTACAACCAAAACTCACGGTTTGTAAGAAGAATAATGTCCAACACTATGAAATTCAAAGATAAATGCTATATATAGAAATTGGTTTCAAACAGAAAAAAGAGGAATGGTGACGCGAACGTCATTCTTTGACGGAATGTCATTTCCTTGAGCATTTCTCCACCCGCAACTCTGAAATAGAACAAATTTGGGGATGACAAGAAGGAGCCAGATGGAAGAATGTTCAATTGGGCGTTACTTTGGTTGTTCCTTCCAAAACTTCTATAAGACGCCTTTAATTCTTGCTTTTTTGTGTTCCACTAAACCTCTGGGCTCTTTGAATCATCTATTTGTGCTCTCAAGACTCCTTTAAATACTTGTTTTCACCCCAAGTATGCTCAAATTGTCCTAATGATTCCTATATACCAAAATTTTATAGAAGTGAAGAAAAATGAGGGGAATCACTGAAAAACTTTCAAACAAAGACAAAAAACTATGAGAAGGTATTAGATGTTTTCACACCTATCAACTATCCCATACTTGAGTCTTTGCTTCTCCTCAAGCATACCAAAACTTGGGTTATACATGTTCAAAGAGTTTTGGAGGTACTAATCAATGGAATCATGAATGAATGGGTATTGACTATTGAGGTTTGGAGAGAGAAATGTTATTAATACAATGGAGACAGACGAGGGAGTGTTAGTAGTAAACAACATTCTACTTGGGAGGAATGCTGATGGGACGCTGGGAGGAACAAGTTTCTCTTGAGTATTTCCCCTTCATTACATAATTTGATTTCTGGGAGAAAGTTGAATGGTGGCAGGAACAGTAACAGGGAACATCATTACCCAAAGGAATGCTAGGAGAAGCCTCAATTCCTTGGGACTTTGAATCGAAACAAATTCAGGGAATAACCGGAGGAATGCCAAGAGGAACAACTTTCTGCTTGGCATTCCTTTGGTGATTTATATAATACTCTTGTCACTCCTTATACTCTTTCATTTTTGTGTATCACTTCACCTCCAGGGTTTTCTAATAATCTAATTATGCTCTTGAAACTCCTCAAAATACTCATTTTCACCCCCAAGAGTGTTCAAATCCATCTGTGGGCCACGGTTCTACATAACAAAATGTTATAAAAGTAAAGCGAAAAGGGGGCATACAACTGAAAATTTCATAAACAAAGATCAAACACTATGTGAAGGTATTAGATGTTTCCATACCTATATGATGTAACTTAGGATGGAGTTTGACCCGTGAAGCTACTAAGTCTCTCATCATTCTCTGTGTGTGCAGGATAGTGGATGCTCAACTATTTTCTCATTAAAATTGATAGAGTATGATGCCATTGGCCACAATCTCCTTATGGATGGGCATTAGCCTTGGGACCAGGCTGATTCCAAGCTTGGTTCTCCTCCCGCCGAGCCCGTTGATGGTGGAGAGTTACTGGTTGAGATCTTCTGGATTGTTAGACGAATTCCTTGACATTAGAGCTATATTTTTACATGATGATCGATTAAGGAACTGCTTGTGTCGTTGTGTACTTAGCTTTGAGAGAACAAATGGAAATTTCATTCAAGATCCCCACAGACGTCGTGAGTGTTGAGGTGAATTGCAACAATTCAAAAGTCTACCACAACACTTCTGGCAGGTGTTTTAGTATAATTGAAAGGTGCAACTAATGAAATGGAAAAGGAAGAACTAAGTCTTATATCTTTTGTATTAGGCTCGGAATTAATGGCCCAACTCCTACCATACACTCACTCTTAGCTCTTTATATCACATAATTTAAAAATTTATCTAACCACTCTCTAATACGATATCGAAAATATGAAGGAATAAATGTTCTCGCAGTGAATGTAAAAATCAACCGCTTCCTTAAAGTTCTTAGGAGTTATTTATAGTTTTGACTTGGGAGTTGTAGCCGAGAGGGTCAGTGTAGCAACTCCTCATTAGGTGGGGTCCCTATCCATTATATTTTCCCAAATCCATGTATTAATGATCTTCCCGCCATATCTAGAATTCGAACATAAAGGAGTGTAGTTCAAGTATTGAATTTTGCCTATTGTATCATTGGGTAAGCCCTATCCGGTCTATGGCGCTATTGATGCCTCTATACATCAGCGAGTACTTGTTGTCTATGCCTCTTGTTTTAACTCTCTACTGGACGGGACCTAACTAGCATGAAGATAGTATGTTGGTGGTATGTCCAATCTTCCTAGTGTCCGCTTAGTCTGAACATCTAGCCCGAGCCGCCGAGCTAGTGGTGGAATCGGGCCGGTTCGGGCCCGGCCCGGGCCTAGGTCTGACCGGGCCGCCGGTTAGGAAATGTTTGGCCCGGGACCGGCCTGGGTAGCCACCGGGTCTGGTCCGGGTCCAGGCCGGGCCGGGCCTCGGGCCTCTTACATTTTTTTTCTTTTTCTAATTACTCCCGACCCCCCCCCCCCCTAACCCCCAACCCCCAAACCACCCCCAAATGGCCCAAAATACCCAGCCCAACCCGGGGATTTAAAAAAAGTTGACAAAAAAAGCCCAGAACCGGGTCCAAACCGGCCGGGCCAGTTCATGTTTTGGGTGACCCGAGCCCAGACCGGAAACCCCTCGGTCGGGCTTACCCGGACCGGTCACTGGCCGGGCCACCGGGTCGGGCCGGAACAGTGCCGGTTCGGTGCCGGTTCGGGGTCAGGCCACCCGGCCCGAGTCCACCATTACGCCGAGCTAATGTTGGACCACTCTGCCTATAGGACTTAGGCTTGTAACCCTTCTTGCAAGAGTTGTGTATATCACATGGCACAAATAGAATCCAAATGGCAGAAAGAGACCCCCCCCCCCCCCCCCCCCCCCCCGCTCTTAGAGTGCCATCCAAGCCATGACAGTAATCTGTATATTATTGAATTCAGCGTTCTACAAGCTACACTGATGACTAATGGAATGGTTCATGGTTGTGGCTTCTTCTTCATATCTTAGGAATATGGGCGTGACAACTAACAACAGAATGCCAATTTCTATTTGGTAATCGCCAATCGGTGTGCATGAGTCAGTTGTTCAGGCACACATGACACTAGGGGTGGGCAAACGGGTCTTGGAACCGCGGTCCGGTCCGGATAATGGCGGTTCGGGTCCAAAACGGGCCGGTTCCATTTTTTGTTGCCATAAAACGGTCCGGGTAGGGTCGGGTAATTTTATTAAGGAACCGGACCGGTTCCAAAATTAAAAAATGACGGGTACCCGGCCCGTCCCGTTATATATATTGTATATTAATTTATTAATAGTTTTGTGATAATCGGTTTTGAAATAGTTTTCTTTCCTTTGCTAGAAGTAGGATTTTAAATTGAGTTGCAGTAACATCCTTTTGTTTTCAAATTATTGATTAAATGTTTCATAAATATCTTATTACTTTTTATTGTTATTGAATTATTCCTTTCTATGGAATTTAATTATTTGTTAAAGATGATTTTTTTATATTTTTTTTATTATATTTTTATTAAAATATATAAATTGTGTTTACCACCCACCATGTATGTGTCAACTTTGGCTAATACTGAAAATTTAATAATAAAAAAGCAATCACTTTAATATGTGATGTTAGACAACATGTTTAAAATACAAATGTTAGAAAATATGTATTTTGACTATGTTGGATATTTTTGGAATTTCTTTAATTGTTTGAAACTTATATACAAAAAATTATGGAGTATTGGACTTTTCGCTTGTATTATATGTGCACCACTATGTTGTTATTTTGAAACTTGCTAATGTCTTATATTATTGATTATTGATTTTTGGAACTTCGTGAGTTTTTACTAATTTCAAGACATGAGAATAGAAACCGTAAAACCCGGACCGGACCGACCCGTTTCAAACGGGCAGGGTAATTTCCGGTTCCTGTTTTGAAAATTGTAATACCCGGACCGAACCGTACAATGGAACCGGCGGTTCCATTTTATTTTGCATTACCCGACCCGGCCCTACATGACACCAATCTCACCAAGGTGCACTAATTGCAATCATATATCGTCCACTTTTAGGTGCAACTGTCTATGTTTTCATTTCGTAAAAAAACCATGGCATATTCATGTTATTCAATACAAACAGAAAAGTGTTGTGGACCTAGCCCATACTAGGCTCATAGAAAGGCCCTAAGCCCAAGGTGTAGAACTCATTTCCAAAAGACTAGTCGATTAGGAGGAGCCGAGGAGGGAACACCTTACTTATAAGTAGTCATGGACCCGGGCCGGGCCCGGTCGGGCTTTTTTTTTTGGAAGGAAGGCCCGGGACCGGCCCGGGTAGCCACTGGGTCCGGTCCGGGTCCGGGCCTCCGGTTTGGTCATTTTTTTTTTGCTTTCCTAACCCCCACCCCCCCAAACCCCTCCTAACCATCAAGCCCAGCCCGGGTGGAACCCCAAAAATGACAAAAAAAAAAAAAAAAAAATCAATTCGGCCCCGGACCCGGGCCCGACCCAGCCGGTTCGCCAAATACAAGGCCCGAGCCCGGACCCGCCCCCCACCGGGCCTAGGCCCGACCCGGATCCGAGAACCGGGCCGGTTCCGGGCCCGCACAGTAGCGGGCCGGGTGGGTCCCGGGCCGGGCGGCCCGAACCGGGTCCATGACTACTTATAAGCCATCGGCCAAGCCCATACTTGATCGGTATGGGATAGTTACAAAAAGAGGAAAACAAACCCTACAAGTTTTTTTGGCCAATAAGATTGTTTTCAAGATATTAAATGAATGAAAAGGATCCCTAATTTCTAAAATAAAATGAAGACTCGAAGCAAAAGTCTATAACTGAAATAAACAAGTGAAAAGAAGCCAACATAAAAACCTTAGGCTTTCCTGTTCTACTACTGATACCCTAAGTAGAATGCACCCTAGTCTCGAGGGGTTCCCAGGATTGACAGAACAGTTTAGCTGGGAGAGACACTACACATTTTCTAATTATTATAGTGCATTGGGGGGGGGGGGGGGGGGGTGGGGGGGGGGGGGCTGATTTCACAAGATGCCACATGAGTTATGAAGTCCCAACAGACAAAAGTACAACTTCATATAACATGTAGCACCGCACTAAATCAACACTGGAGCTTTTCCTTTGACTACACACACATTATTACCTAGAGGCGTTACTAAGCCTTTTTGTATTGCCATTGCTCTAAATAAACTGCAAGAGCAGACACCAAGATAAGCATTATGTCACCAGTCTTTCTGAATCACCCCTAAAACATGACACTTGCTTCTTCCTTTTTGACGCATTAAAGGTCATCTCCGCAAAAGGTGGATGGCACAACCACAAGGGCTACACGGCTTGTCCATTCCTCTCCCGGTTTTAATGTGACAGGTTTCTCTATTGCTGCAGCATCAACACAGAGCATTTGTTTGTACTCTTCGTCACCAAAATCTACCATCGCCTTGGATTTCTTCTCCCATGGATTCCACACCGCTGCAAACGGGACAAATAATATATGATCAGTTTTAATGACAAATATCCTGTCGTAGTATCTGTATGTCAAGTACGCAGCTGCAATTAAACTAGCATACCAATATCAGGAAGTCCATCTTTCTTTACTAGATATGTTTGTTTCCTTTCATGATCAAGCACGGCAATAGAGTTTGGAGTGCCAACATATACACGATCAAGCTGCAAAATTTAGAAAGTTTCTTATATCCAATAAAATGGTCTTGATATGAATAAATCCTGAGACTTCAGAATCACTGTGACTCAATTTGATAAGAAGACAAATAACTATTACTCCAAAACACGCAGTAGGATGGATGACAAACTATTCTTTTGGACATTGTTGAAAGTGCTAACTCAAATACAATATGGATATGATCGCTTGGTAACTGAAAGACAAAGCAATGGAATACAAACATGATATTCCCATCCTTCAAGAAAGAAAACACTATCAACGAGCATAGTTTCTGTAGAGGGATGTTTTGGTGAAGACAAACTGTCCCTCCATTCAGTTAAACGAATGATGCAATTTACCTCGCACTCAAATGTTATTGCATCTCCTTGCTCTGTGAAACGTTCTCTATGGCAGAGATTGTCAAGATAGTCCAGTGTTTCTAACCCTTCAATCCTTACTTCACTGCAAGTAATGTTTTATTTTATTTTTTTAGAATGCCACATGATTAAGTTGTACAGAAATTATCATAATAAAATGCAAAACACTGATGCAATGAATTTTGTGTATCTCATTACACAATTCACCGAGCAAGAAAATATGACTTATATAGAAAGTATGGAGCTACACTTTGTATAATTGTATAGCTTGATTTATAAGTATGTATATGTATGCATTACATGCAAACAAGAAAGAGGATAACAAAACTCACCTTATATCAGAGATAGACAAATATGTATGACAAGCGAATGAGAAACTGAATGCTTTTCCATTGATGTTTCTAATACGAGATATCACTGTGAGATTTCCATCTGATGCCAGAGAAACCCTGAGGCGAAGCTCAAAGCTGAAAAGAAAAAGAGCTGTTCAGTCAGCATTTTTTAAACTAGATTGCCCTAATAATTTTTTTCCTTTTTTTTTTTTTGAAAAAACAGTGTCTTTCTGTTTTAGCTTGATATAGAGCTGTTTGTACCTGTGAGGCCAAAATTTCAAATCTTCTTCGGATGGTCTTAGTAGTAAGTCAATGAAAGATTTTCCATGAGCATCAAATGCATGCAGAGATGGAGGATGATTATCTATTGTCCAAAGTTTGTTTCTTGCAAACCCATGATTCTCAAGTGAACCACCATTGCCAAACTGCATTACATATGTTCACGTTACAGATATTATTACCATCAACCAAGAGCAGTGCTAAATGTCAAATTACCTGGGGAAAGCAAATACAAATTCCTCCTCTTAAAGCTTTTGGAGACTTTATTGCCTGGACATATCAATAGAATGCAAGTATGTATTTAGCACTTTTAACACTTCCTTGAAAAGATAAAATGATATTTTAACCCACACGGGGGCAGTTGAGTGACATACAATTATTAAAGATATCATTGTGGTCCATTGGTCCCTATACACCGTATCCAATAATAAATACCAATGTTCTAAAAGGAGCCTAGGCGGGCGCCTAGGCATGGACTAGTCGGAGAAATAGAAATTATAGTTTTATCAATATTTTGCATAAATATGATTAGTAATATTGTGTTAGTGTGTATTAAAAATACATACATACACATTAAAATGCATGAATGATAGAATTGTCACATTTAGTAAATTATATTATACCTACTCACTTAACATCATTATGCAATAAATATTATTAAATAATTACTCCCTCAGTCCCAAATTGTAAGATACATTTACTATTCACTTGGTCAACATAAATTACTCTTAATCTTTTACTTTATATATCAAAAGTTTATGAAATTTGAATTAATTTTTGGAGTCTTTGTAGCGGTTTTAATGTAGTTTCTGAATATGTAAATTTTATTTTCTAAAACTAATTTGAGTGTTGCCAGGGATCAATTTGCTTTATCGTTGGTCAAACATCATAAACCGTAAAGTATCATACAAATTGGGATGGAGGGAGTAACATTTAAGATTATATACAAACATGTATAGTTTTTATCTAAATCTACAAGTAGTTTCTTCATATGCGTTTTTAAAGTTAAAGGTACATATATCTCTTAGAAAAGTAGAATAAAATGTTCGACGAATCTAGACGCCCTAGGTGGACAATTAAGCATTCTAGGTGGGCAACTAGGAGCCCTAGGCAGCCGACTAATTCACTTAGGCGCCCAACTAATTAGTCGGAGTGCCTCGACTAAAATCCGGGCGCCCGACCACCGCCTAGAGCCTAGGCGGGGACTAGTCGGACGCCTAGAGCGATTTTTAGAACAATAATAAATATTACTCCGTACATGCTTATTGTGACATTTTAATATTCATGATATACTAAAAAAATTAAGAATTGGCGGTGTGCACCCTTTTCGGACAGTTAATTAATGTTACATTTAAGCAACGTTTGGATCCTGGAAAATGCTAGCGAATGAAGAGAAAACGCATAAGAGAGTTGTTATCGTAGGTTTGAATTTACCTCGGAAAATGCAAAGAAAAATGAAATGCGACTAAATGTTTTCAAAAAAATACATATGCTTAGAATGTTTAGCAATTACATAACTCATGTGAATGAATAAAAAATGAATTCGAGTAAACATTGAACCAAAATTTTATTTCCATAACATTTTCTTCCTTTCTAAGCATCTCTGGTATTTTTTTCCCTAGTTTCTTTCTCTAGCATTTTCGGTGTTCGAACAGACCCTATGCAATCACGGCTAGTCAAAGATTTTAGCAGACTCACATTTCATAGAGTGGCATAAATACTTGGAAATAAAATGAAAGCACTGAAAGACAGAAGATTATAGCCATATGTAAAACAACTTCTAACATATTTGAGTGGCAATTCAAACATAAAATTGCTCCAAAGTAGGAAAAAGAATTGAATTGCCAGATAGTGGAGTACACATAACATGAGAGTATGCGACCAGAGCCTGGTCCGAGTCAACAGTTATGCATATATAAACACGGAGCATCACCTTGCTACTGGTGAACAGGAGTTCCTCACCCCGAGCATTCCGCCATGAAGTAATCTGTCCTCCGTTCAAGCTCACCTGAATTTGAGAAATTTGACAGTCAAATGAAAAGGCAAAAATGAAAAAGCGCATCCACTATTCAACTTATTCGATAGGGAAATGAAAGATAGATAGATTCCTATCATCAAGGATTAGCCGGAAAATCTATAAAGGGAGCGATAAATCAGAGATTCGAATACTACCCTGGCAGAGGCCCCATGAGGAGTACGGAGCACAACCTGATCGATCCCATTCAAATCCTTTGTAACTTGAATTGCAGCTCTGGGATCCCAGACTGCAGCACAGTGCCCCATTTCAAAAGCAGAGCACAGATCTCTTCCACCCCGCTCTGAAGAGCAACGGCCGGGAGTCCGCGCCGCTATCACCGAAGCAAACTCAAACACCGACCGGCTTGGGGGTGGGGAGATAAAGGCACTGCTACTTCTAGCTATAGCTAATTCACAGTCGCAACTATCATTATCATCAGAAAATGAATAACCCAAAAAGGAAATCTAGATTTGTAAGCTGAGACCAATCCCTGCCAGATGCTAACCTACTACTGCCTAAAGAAGCTGTGGTTACAACTGGCAATTGCACCTGCACAGGAAATAATAATAAAATTGCATAATTAAAAATAAAATAAAAAATCGGTTCACAAACCGACAAGCATAATTAATCGTCCTAATCGGAAAGTAACAAATCTTGACATCTATGATCTACCTATACCAAAATAGGATTACTCAGTTATCTTCTTTACAACATTATTATGATTATACAATAATACCATTGTTTGATAAGCAATTAAGCAGCTTCGTATCACGTATGCACTAGCTTTTTGATGGATTGAACCACTAATCGATCGATTTATAATTTTTTTAAAAAAAAACAAATCCACTTATCCACTCAACTAATAAATGGTGGTTCCATCCGAGTGCCTATATGGTACACCCGGGTGTACGTACATCCGGTCTAATTAATGATATTGACTGGTGGGCTGACATCTCGTCCCAATGAATTGCGACCATAGTGAACTGGATTCCTTCACAAAAAAATTAAAAACCACAACAGGATTCAATCCCCAAACCTGTAGTAGCATATGCTATCTTCCAACCATCTCACCAAGTCGTCTTGTTGAAATAATTAGTTCTTTTATCTTACTTATCCTATATAGTTGCATACTACGTATTATTAATAGTAATTATAATATTAACTATTCTTTTACTTTTTCTCATTATTACTATATTAAAAGAGTAATTCATATTTTTGAAGTATTTATTTGATATCTAGTATTAATTTATATAAATATATTTATAATTTTTTTTATATAGTGTTAGGTTTCTAATAAGCGTGATGCTCATCAAAATTGTTTTAATGCTCATAATAGGCCTGATGCACATTAAATGTTTAATAATGCTCATTTAACAGAAACAAGGATTTTCATCTCAATAGATGATATTTGATGCTTAATGAATATGTTGTTATTCAACTTAACAAACTTTGCGATTTTCATATCTAGGAACATTTTGTAAGATGTGCATGCTCATCCGGTACTGATCTTATGCTTATTTTCTAAATGTCATATCAGTATATTTTCTTTAAAGTACTATTTTACATTAGATTCACATATTGAAATTCATAGGAGTTGATTAGAAATATAATTTAATAAGTTTTTATAAAAGAAAAATTACATTATATTGATATGACATTGTAAAAATGAGCATAACATGAGTACCAAATGAACATACATAACTTACAAAGTGCACATTGATATGAAAATCGTAACATTTGTTAGTTGAACATCATGACATTCAACCTCCACTATTGAGATGAAAATCACGACTTCTAGAGAATGAGTAATAATGAACTTTTAATGAGCATCATACCTATTCTGTTGAGTATTAGGAGTATAATATTCAGAATCGTGAAATCTGCTTCATAACTTCTAATTCACTTTCTTTTTGTTGTTTTTATCGTAAGATTTGTTAGTTGAACATCACGACATTTTAATTGAACATCCAACATCTGCCATTGAGATGAAAATCACAGTTTCTTGTGAATGAGCATTAATGAACTTTTAATGAGCATCATACCTATTATGTTGAGTATTAGGAGTACGTCTATCACAAAATAATACATTTAGAAAGTGAGCATAAGATCAGTATCAGATGAACATATGTAACTTACATCACGAGTATTAATGAATTTGTTAGTTGCTTTGTTAGTTGAACATCACGATATTTTCATTCAGCATCAAAACTCCTTTATTGAGATTGATGAAAATCATGATATGACATTTGAAATATGCATTGATATGACATTTTAAAAATGAGCATAAATGAGTATAAATTGCGCATATGTTACTTACAAAATGAGCATTGATAATTTTTTTTTTGATTGAGTATCAAGACATTTTCATTGAACATCAAATCTCTTCTATTGAATATTAGAAACATTCAATAGAGTATTAAGGTATGTGCTCGATCTAGTATCTAGAATGAACTCCTATGTAAATATTATGTAATACGACACTTTTGTAGTATGCATTGATATAACATTTTAAAATGAGCATAGATCCAGTACCAAATGAGCATACAAAACGTACCAAATGAGCAATAATATTCTATTGAGCATTAGGAGTGTAACCATGATATCGTGATCTTTGATTCATATTTTCTAATTTACTTTCTTTTTCTTATTTTTTCTTTTATAAAAATTTATTAAATTATATATATAATCATTTTCTATGAGCGTAACTTAATCTAAAGTAATATTGCACTTTTAAAATATGCATTGATATGACAATTTTAAAATGAGCATTAAGAGTCGAATAATGAGTATTGTGATATCAACTTCATATATTGTAATTCACTTTTTTTTTCTTTTTTTTTCTTTTATAAAAACTCATTAAATTATATCTATAACCAATTCCTATGAATTTCAATATGCGAATCTAATGTAATATGGTACTTTTGAAATATGCATTATTATGACATTTCAAAATGAGCATAATAGAAGTACCAATTGAGCTCACGTAACTTACAAAATGAGCATTAATACTCTATGTAATAGAGTATCATGGTTTGAGCTCCCGTATCTATAATCATCAACTCTTACGAAACTTAATGTAATATAGTGCTTTTGGAATATGCATTGACATAACATTTTAAAATGAGCATAACATCAATATCAAATGAACATACACAATTTACCATATGAGAAATGATATCAAAATTATAAGCTTGGTTAGTTGATCATTAATACATTTTCAATGAACATCAAATCTCATCAATTGATTATCAGAAACATGCAATTGGGTATCATGACCTTTGCTCTCGTGTATATAATTTAACTCTTATGCGAATCTAATATTATAGTTTTGAAATGAGCATAAACCAGTACGAGATGAACACAAGTAAATTACAAAATGAGCGTCGAAAATTTAAAAGCTCGTTTGAATTCTCTAATATGTTCAAATGTTCATTTGTGCATATTTATTTTACATTATACTCATTTTATTATAACACATAACTCATGTTAGTAATTAATACACAATATTTAGTAACTAATAAATATTCATCTTAAATTAAAAAATAGATGAAAAACATCGATAACATAATGCACAAATGAATAAAACTCGAGTTAGAAGGTTGATTAAAAAAGAAGAAGAAACAAACTCAAACATTAACAATATTTTATATTAACCATTTTCATAATAGTTGAATAAGAAATTAAAGCATGTTAAAGAAAATAAACAAAAGAAAAAGAACGAACTAAAAAGGAAAACAACTAAAAGCATTGAAAGTTGAAACCTGAAAAGAAACGTAAAACGGAAAAACTGAAAAGCATGGAAATGAAGAGTGGCGGACCTGACGGCAGAAAAAGAAAAGCCCCAACAACCAATAGTCTAACCATTACCCTAAAATCTGGATCTAATTACAAAATAATCCGGCTGTACCATGCTCTAGGTACAGCCGGCTGTACCGTATATATTACCATTCCATCCAGCATTTAGATCCCAAAATAATACTACTACCTCTATTCCTAAAAGTTTTGTCATTTCATAAATTTTGAATTATGATTTTAATTATTATTATAAAATTATAAAAGATAATAGTATAAATTTTATACTTTTATGAAAGTACTTTTAACAAAGAGCGTTTTCATATAATTTTTATATTATAAATAATTTTCAATAAAAAGATATTGTTGATTAAAGTTACGAAAATGACAAAAAAAAATGGACAAAAGATAGTAGTATGAACGGTTACAAAACAATACTCCCTCCGTCCCATTTATATTGTCCCGTTTTACCTTTTCGGGAAGTCCCACTTAAATTGTCCCTTACCATATTTGGCAAAGTTTGTGGGGCTCTAAATCATTCTTACTTTATCAATTAATATCAACCACACAAACTCACTTTTCTTAATAACCGTGTCACCCTCTTCCGGGACAATATAAATGAGACGGAGGTAGTACTAAATTACTATTGGTAATAAATAATAAAAATAATAAAAAACTTGCAAAACACGTTGGTTTGAGTGGTACTTCATATACTCCGTAAGTAATACTACTCCCGTCCAAGAAGGGACGGATCCAGGATTTTGAGTCAAGGGGGGCGAAATTTTTCGTTAGTGTAGGGGGTGAATTTTTTTTGTTAGTGTAGCGGGGTGAAATTTTTTCCCCTAGTGTGGCGGGGCGAAATTTTTTCGCCGCTGTAGGGCTATGCGGCTATTTTTATTCAAAAAATGACATTAATACATGCACATCCCGAACGACATTTAAATCTATCACATTCTAAGTTTAGACGATGACAAAGACATCAACCAATACATTTTTAATAACTTCTACATTGTTCAACCTCATGAATCGGTTATTGAATTGTAATTTTGTCCACCAAGGAGGGTGTTCCGTGTTCGTGAGTCATGACTCATGAGAAGTTTTCTTAATATTACAATAGTAGTATACCAGTATGTATGAGATTGTTATTTTTAGAATAATATGCACCACATACACACATATGGTGCATATTATATTTTAATATTTTTATTAATTCTATAATAATTTAAAGTTTATTATCCGTGCAATAAATTATTTTTAGAAAGCAAGAAGTAAATGAATTATGTAATCTAATGTCTATAAATATTTATATTTTGGATTCATTTCACGTGATCTAAAAATTGTGTAATTAGTGTGTCTGGTATTTAATATTGTTTGATATATGTTTTACAAAATCCTGTACTTGTTATCTAATAAAGATAATTAAACATTACAAAACTAGGAATTCTTAAATAATAAGTATTCTAAATCTTAAATAACGAGTTACTCTATTGTTTATTTGTTTAAGTTATGTAAATTATTTTAGATGTTTCTTCTTTTAAATCTCCAATTAAGTATTACATTATGTAAGACTATATACTAATTTTGAAAATTAAAAGCTAAGGGGGGCGAATCTAATTAAATTATGAAAGTTTTATGAAAATATTACATATATGGTAAAAAAATTTGAATGTCCAAGGGGGGCGGTCCCCCCCCCCCCCCTAAATCCATCCCTGCGTCCAAGCTCTAAGGTTCCCATTGCCAAATAAACCGGATATTAA